GAACTTGTCCACCAAGTTTTTAAAGCCCCCCACATTGTAGTAAGAAAATTAAAATTTTTTTCCTAAGCTTTCTTTCTATATTAAAGCTACTATTTTCATTATTCCTTTTTAAAAACTTTTCTATTCCAGAAGTATGCACATATTTAAAAAATATATTTTCAGTCTTTAAAATGTGTGGTATTATTTTCCACAGTTTTACATAAAGATCCAAGGCAGGTGTATCTTTGTCTTCTTGAAATTGGTCGAATTGTGTCAAGGTACGTATCCAATAAATATTTCAAAATTTCCATACAATAAACATTTTCTCAAGCTGCTTTATTTTAACTTAGAACAATACTTTTTATAAATAAAAATAATTTTTGATTAAAATAAATCAGCCCAATTTCCTTTTTATTTTTTAATAGGTTTGTTCTGTTTTCATAAACTGTTGTGTTAGTCTGGGTTGACTAGAGAAACAAATCCAGACATACTCACATATGTATAAGAGAAAGCTTTATATCAAAGAGCAATTGTATATTGAGAAAACATCCCAATCCAGTCCAGATCAGGTCCATAAGTCCAATATTAGCTCATATGTCCGATACTAGTCCATAAGTTCCTCGTCAGACTCACACAGCACACGCAAGGATGCCGAATACAGAAAGATCACTGGCCGGTGGGTGGAAAGTTTTGTGGGTCCAGTGACAGTGAGAGCCTCACAGGGCTGTCTGCCGGTCTCTGCCACGTGGCTCACTTAGGTCTCAGTATAGCTCCACATGGCTTGTCCACAGAAAGGAGAGAGAGGAAGTTCCTAGAATCGTCATGAGAAGGCCACACCCACAAGGAGGTATCATTAGTCTGACCTGACTGACAGGCTAGACTCCACCCCTAGATCTATTTATCAAGTTGACATGAACTTATGTAACTACCACTACTGTCATGTGTCGACATATGCTTTCTCATAGCTTGTGTTCATTAATAATGTTTCATTTTTTTGGTTCTTCTGTTTCCCATTTATTTTTAAGAGTCTTCATTGGTAGCAAATTGTAAAAGTGATTATCGTATACACTCGAGGATAAGCCGAGTTTTTCAACACATTTTAATGCAGTTTTTGTGGTAAAATTAGGTGTCTCAGCTAAAATTCGGGTCGGCTTATACTTGAGTACTTAAATTCAGAATAGACTGGAAGCGTCTAGTATCTCAGGAGAGATACTGTGTACAGAAGTACACACCTCTGTGTCCAAAAAGGCTCTAACAAGAAGGTTAGCATATGATAACTCAAAGGCTTGGTGTCCTCCACACTTATGTTGGCCCTGTCTTTTCTCGTGAGCTAGTGATAGAGGAGCCTTCGGGATCCTGGGTTCAATACTAGAAGCATCTAGTAGCCAAATAAATGCTATGATGTGAAGATGGTAGTCTAGTTTTGATAATTAAAACATTTTCCAGATGTCCCAGTGAAACAGTTACTGGGGGAGAAGCAGACAGACTTTGCTTTCCATATAAAATACAACCTGTCATAATCTAAGGGAAGTGTGTGGAACAGCTTTTGGTTGCATGATCAGATCTCCTTGTTGCTTTTCAGATACGGGGTTGAGCCACCAGTATTAGTAAAACTTGAGAAAGAAATTGAGCTAGAAGAGACCTTGCTCAATACATCTGGGCTTGAAGAATCCATCAGCATTCCCAAATCATGCTGTCAGCATGAGGAGTTACACGAAGCTGTAAGTAACTGCCACACTGCCTTTTGACTGATGCCTCATAGCCTCGCGTTCTCGACCACTTGTAGCTGACTATGGTTGATGCTGTGCTTAAAGCGCTTCTTCTGCAGACTGTACACCAACCCTTACTTCCTGGCGGGTTCGGCACTTTTAAGATGATTTATTGTTGCCTGAATACGATGGGCAGTGGGTTTGTAGTTGGCGATGGTGGCACAAACAGGCTGGGAACA